AGGTAAGACACCTATCTTTCTTATTCTTCGGGCCAACGGTTTAAATCCGTTGGCCTGACCGTTTATTTTTGATGAGCTGTTACAATAACTGTACGCCTTCTTCATCTTTATTGACGGAACGATTTTATAACCGTATGGGCTTCTAAGTTAACTTTTTGAAAAAGAGACGTTAGTTCTTTTTGCCCCCATAAATTTGAAAGGAATGGTGTCCTTCAAACAAATGAACTATTCCGATAGAGGGTTCAAAATTAATTAGGAAAGCTAATTATTCAGTGAGGTCAAGTGATCAGAATGCCTAGCTGGAGGCCGCTTCCGATTAGTAATATTAACGTATAATTAATATTACAGCTTAATCTTGACTGAACCCTTCAGGTCACACCCAATCGTGTAACCAAACCAAGGCGACGAATTCATCTGAAGAATTAAATAAGTCGAAAGAGATTTTATGAACTAAGATGTCGGATTCCGAGCTTAGGGCGTTGAAGCCGAGCGTCGAGTCGATTTCAGTAATCGATAAGACAAGAAAATAATCAAATGACACATCGTGCTAAAATTATAAGCGTAGCACGAGGCCTAGCCGTGCTTTGTATCAAAGGCAAAGGGCCAGGGCCGCAAGCGCTAGGCCACCGTGCCATTGCAGCCATCGTAAGGCCCGGCTAGGCTGACCTTGCTTGTTGGCTGGCTGGGGCAGCCTAGTGGCCAGCGCACCATCGCTGCCCTAGCTAGGCTTACCATCGCTGGCGCTTGCAGTGTTGGTGCTGGGCCTATGCTGCTGCTACTTGCTTGTGGTATGCGCATGGGGCCTGCTGCTAGTGCATGATCTTGCGGCAAAGGCTAGCAGGCCTAGCCTTGTGCCACAAGGCTGCCAGCAAGGCTGGCCTTGCGGCCCAAGGCCGAACAGCAGCCCTTTGCTAACCGGGGTAGTTGGGGCAGCCCTTTGCCTTATTCTCCAAGGTCAAGGTGATCCTCCCACCTACTCTCTCTTGTGTGTTGACACTTGTCATTTGATTATTGTTCATCCTTTTAATTTAATTTAGAATTAATTAATTCATGAATTTTCTCATTTTACCAACTATCCCACATTAAAAGATGATGGGAAATCATGGGAACATTTCCCTATAAATACCAATCATTGGGTATTGGGAATTTCACTTGAGTTGGTGAACTCTAAGGGATCTCCAAAAGCGAGAAAACCTTATTTCGTAAACTCTAAGTTAATTTTGGTCTAGCCCTGTCTAAGCTACGGGGTAGGGGTCGGTTCCGATTCAGTGAACGAGGGTGTGAGCCGTTGGAGGTTTCGCACTTGCGGAGCTTGAAGCTTTCACATAAAGAGAAGAGAGAGAAAGAAGCAAAACACGCGTTTAGGGTGAGCTTCTTTCTCTCTCTTCTCTTTATGTGTTTGTGTTTTGTTTATTTTCATGGTTTTATTTATATTGTAATTATTATGCATGCGATTCGGTTATTGGGTTTTGTTTCCGCGCGATGTCGAACACCGCAAAACCTAACAGCAGTATAAGAGCCTCTTGCATTTAATTTTTACAACTAAAAATTGATTAAGGTGATTTAAATGGACTTAAATTTATGGTTTAGGATCCTAATTAGATTAGGACCTCATTTTAAATTAGATTAAAATCGTATTTAAATTAGATTTTGACATAAAAATAGTGAATTTTGGGTGGAATCAACTAGAACATTCTTTACCCACAAAGTGTTTAAAAATGACCTTTTAAAATCCGAAATCCACCCAAAAAGTGCTTTTTCGAGGGGTTTTTCGTTTGGAACGAAAAATTTTAAATCTTTAAACCTTGATTAATTATGGCATGCAAATGTTGGATTATGTGTTTGATTATACCATTTATCTTCTGCAATTTTAACCTTTATTAAGCATGTTTATGAAGTCATAATTGGTGCTTAATTTGGTTAGCTCTTATTTTTACATAAACTTGCAATTTCACATTTTTACAAATTAATTGCTTGGAGTGTGAATGTTTATGGTGAATATGCATTTTAAAACCCCTAAAGTGTTAAAGATTCAATCTTTAATGGTTTAAATGGTTGAATCTTAACTTGCTAAAATCCATAATGAACTAATTTTTGGTTTTAATCATTTTGGAAGTTGTATAATTCTTTAATGTTCATACGTGTGCTTGAAATATTATTGTTCTCATATTAGAAGGTTACAATATTCAAATGTGCATAAGTGTTGGAAAAATTATTTCATTGGATGATTGATTATTTATTCAACCATTTTGTCAAATCTCATTATTAATTTATGTTGGTTAAATTAATTGTGAGAATAGCCCTCAATTTTTGTTGCATCAAGTTAAGCCAAAAAAATAATTTAAAGAATGGTTCTAGTATACAACTCAGCAGCAGCAGGCCAACCGAATCATCATTCGAGATAGCACTGGCAATCTATTTAACACACACACACTTTCAACTGATAAAGTATAACATATTCCCTCCTTGGCCTCAACCATTAGCTTTAAATTTTGGTTGAGTTGATCCGACCTCTAACATGATATCAGCGTCAGACACAAAGGTCAAATCACAAGTTCAAATCTCATCCACCCCCTCTTTTCAAAGTGGAATATTAAGTGCATGGTATGAGAGGGGGGTCCATGATGTATTCACACTTCAAACCCAATGGACTCTCGTGTGAGGGGGCATGATAGAATATATTCTTGAGCCTCAACCATTAGCTTAAAATTTTGGTTGAGTTGGTCCTCTAATAAATTAAAGCTTTCATAGCAAAATTATATGTTCTCCGCAAGTGCATTCAACTTGTGATGGAAAAAGGCATTAAAAACATCATTATTGAAGGTGATAATCTATTTGTTATTAATTCACTCGGACAAAGTTTTATGGACGATCCCCTAGCAAATTGATCGTAGACATTATTCGACTTCTTTTTAATAATATTGCTAATTGGAATATCTATCACATTTATCATGAAGCAAACTGAACAACTGACTAGGTATCTAATGTGGGTTACTTAATTAGTGATAGTATGGGCATTGGACCTTGTAAATTAGTAACAACACTAATTTATTTCTTATTCTGGTATCGGATACAATAGGAGCTCCCTCGTGAGGAGGATCTCCTATTTTTCTTACCATTATTTTTAAAAAAAATTGTATATATGCATTAATTTTTATTTATTATTATTATTTTTTGGGTTTCGAATTTCAGAATGTGCGATATACAAAATACTTCTTTTTCAGTGTTTGGTGAAGCCGTGAAGCAAAAAAAGAAAACGTGTAAACACCTAATTAGCTTTTGACTAATTATCTCTCTGGTTACTAATACGAGTAAAAGTTGAACGAGGAGAAGAGATTTAGCAAACCAAGAACTAACACGAAGTGTATTGTTTTTATTAATGACAAAGCATGCAAGATGATTATTTATGCTACGTTATTAACGACTAATTGCCACTCTCAAGAGTCTTGACTCTTGAATCAAGCCCAATCTATCCGATCCAAAACTGACCTGAACAGTACAACACTCGATTTAGATTTCGACTTGTATTATTACAATAATTTAGCATGATTCATATTTGAGATTGGCCCAATTTGTCCTGGTCTTACTGAACCTGACCTAGACATCTGAATTGACAATTCACACCTTTAAGCCCACTTATGACTCTCGCATATTACGGTATCCCAATCAACCACGTACTAGACCACGCTTAGCTTGGTACAGAGTAATAATGTCAGACATATAAACATGTAACTTTTGACACCTTAAAATTAAAACTTTATCATATGAACCATTAATTCAGTAGAAAACAAATTGTATGCCCAAAGTTTAATAAACATCATTACTTCAAAATGAAAGCCCAATAGAACTTGCATTTTTTACAAGTTTGCAGCCCTACTATTTTTTGGATATCCCTTTGTGTTTGCAGCCCTATAATTCTCAATCAAGTAAAAAACTTTCGTAGATATCCCTTTGTGTTTGCAGCCCTATAATTCTCAATCAAGTAATAAAAAATTAGAAAAAACAATTCTTATACTACGTATATGAAGACAATTACAACTCATAGATGACACTATAATTCTCAATCAAGTAATAAAACTTTCGTAAGGTATACTCTCTCTGTCTTAGTTTGCAGCCCTACTGTTTTTTGGATATCCCTTTGTGTTTAATTTTCCTCATATTATGACTAACAATAAGACTTATTAGACTCTACAAGTTTACTTTTACATTCACTAACTTAATTTTGTGTCTCGATAATCAACTTCACTCAATTCAAATTTCTAAAGCTCCATGTTGATCACAGTGTTGCTCTTAAAAACCCGAAGAGAGAAAAAATAACTACACTCTACTAATGTGGATAGTTTAAGGAAATATTATCATGACGCAAACGTGCCAAATTTAGAATCCTAGATTCTATAATGTAGGGGTTGAGCATGGGTCGGGTACTCGTATCGTTAACACTAACTGTTTGGGTACCTAATAACCAATAACACTAAAAATGATATCCATTAACCGAACCAATAAATTCGGGTATCCGAACTTTGGGTACCCGGATTTTCGGATCAGTTATGAAGTACCCAATATGATATCCAATAATGAAAATTTAGACTTTAAAATTTAGTTATTATGATATCATTCAACACTAATTAACAATAATACCACATGATCATGACCAAATTATAAATAATATTACTAATCATTTAAATTATGAATTGATTATGAAGTAAAGTAAGAGTTTAGATTTTGGATAAATAGATTTAAGTAGGAAAAAAAATAAAATTACTTATCGGATCGGGTAACCGTTAATTTTAAAATGATACCCAATAACCGTACCCGATAACAAATTATCGATTCGGGTACCCAAATCGTTATGGTTATCAGAACGGGTACCCTAATTTTCAATTCGGTTACAATTCGAATTTTCGATTTTTCTGATAATTTTGCTCAGCCCTACTATAATGTGTATAGAGCAACAACAATGAACATATAAATAGAAGTTGTGAGATCCACTTTATGACACCACATGCTCATCCATCGCATCATTTTCAAATTCTCTCATTTCTTCGTTCGAAGCTAGGCATGTCTTACCCAGATAGCTTAGTATGCAAGGATTATCTTGAATTGAACCCAGAAAATGCTAGTTTTAAAGATCTTTTTCACCTTCTATTCTTTAATAATAGAAAAAGTTTCATTGTAAGCCCTTCGGAATTCGAACAAGATTTAAGAAAATTTAATTATCGATGGCTTGTTGTTACTTCTGTTGTCCTGTTGAAGTTGCTTCGTATCATGAAGAAACCATTGAAATACATTGGATTTTTCATCATAACATGGATGAATCTAATCACAAATTATGGTGGTGTGCTCAAGTTGTTGTTAAATTTTATTAAAGGTTAGCAATAATATTTATTATCTTAATTTCAATTTGCTTAAAACTTTTTTTTTTTCTAATTTTTTCTTCCTGTATGAGTTTATAGGATATTTTTACAGCGATTGTTTGAAATATTTTTCATGAGTTTATACGAAGGATTTGGCATGAATGTCACAAAATAATGATGGTTGTGTTATGAACTTCATGCGACTTGTAAAAACAAATTAGTATGTAGTATTAGCTAACTAATCTTTTGTAGTATACTTTCATTGTTTTTTGTAATATTTGATTAAATACTCGTTGCATTATTCCTATTATCCAACTACATAAGAACATAACTTACTAATCATATAGTTTCTCATTTCATATCATTTTTGATAGATAATCACTTATTCGTTTTTATTTTATTTTATTTTTTTATTTATATACGTTAGGTTTTACACGCCTTAATTGGTTAAGATCATTATTTCCGTGTAGCTTATAATTTTCATTATTATCTCATGGTGTAGATTAATGTGATTTGCTCTAAACATAATATGGAAGATTCAGTTGTTACTTTGTTAGTCGGAATTATTCGTATTTCATGTTTATTTCATGCTCAATATTTCCGCTTTTAGCTCATGATACTTAGTTCTTAGGAATAATATATGATGGTACATATGTAATGTCAAAATAATGATGGTATGTACACGCATGTATCACATATGTATATCCTTTTCAATCTTCATCTATTGGAAATGTGAAGAATTCAATGAAATTGTGGACAGGAAATGTGACGATGCCAAATGAGTCAAGCGACACAAATAGATCAATGATAGCACTTCTTGACAGAAGAGTTGATTTGGACCCAAAAATTGAACCAGGGCATGTCAATTATGAAGGTTCGTTTACTTGGATGGCTGCTAAGTTATCATATGAAAATTCTGCCTTCATTAAAACTATTGTTGAGGACAATTGGAAGGTATTGTACACTTTCCATATGCTCTTTTATTTGGTTTTGGTTTGGGATGAGATGTTGGCATCGGTTTAATTCAAGTTTATATGCAAGTATGATTAAGTGATACGAAGGAAATAAGAAGAGTCGTTAAACAAGTTGTTTTTTTGTATTAAGTTTAACTTGGAGTACAGTAAGCCAATTCGAATTTTAACAAACACATACTTCTTGTCTCAGTCTCAACAGTATCACAATTTAAAAAAATGGTTTATGGTAGTTATTGTCACTATATGTTTTATATACACTATTTTTTTTCCTTTCTATATTCTTACATTTACAACCATTTTCATCCAATTTTTTAACAGATGGAGTTGGTAGGGGCCTATGACTTTCGAAATGGTAAGAATTATAAAACTAGTATAATTATTATTTTTATTGTGTTCTTTGTATTACGTATTGTTATGTTCTATATATTGTCTAAGTTATTGATTTGGAGTGTACATAAAAATATTTAAAGAAATTTAACTAATGGAGGGAACAATAATTATTTGCCCTAATTAAAATGTCATTTGTTGTAGATTTTCAAGGGAGCAACTCTACACATGCATTCATGGTACGCAACAAAAGCAAGGACAAAGACACAATAGTAGTGGCATTTAAAGGCACAAACCCCTTCGACGCAGACGATTGTAGCGCGGACATTGATATCTCTTGGTTTAGGCTAACGAACGTAGGGAAAGTTCATGGTGGATTCATGAAGGCATTAGGCCTCCAAAACACTAAAGATGGCGTTGGATGGCCGAAGGATATCGAATCAAGCGATGAAAAACCACAGTTTGCATATTACAAAATTCGACAAGTCCTTAGAAACATTATTCAAGAGAACAAGGACGCAAAATTTGTAGTAGCGGGACATAGTTTGGGTGGTGCATTAGCGATTTTATTCGCTAGTGTTCTAATATTACATGACGAGAAAGAATTGCTTGATAGATTGGAGGGAGTTTATACATTTGGACAACCAAGGGTAGGAGATGAGCAATTTGGAGATTTTATGAAGAAGAATTTGAAGGCCTACAATGTCAAATATTGTAGGTATGTATATTGCAATGATATGGTTCCTCGAGTTCCCTTTGATGACAAGACTCTCTTGTTTGAACATTTCGGTCCGTGCCTCTACTACGATAGTTTCTACCGAGGAAGGGTACATTTTTTTTTTTTTTGTTGTTGTCTTTCTTCTTCATATCTACATTTGTTCGTATGAGACTACGAGAGTCACCGCAATGATCCCGAGAGTTGAGAGTATTTTATAAGTACTTATTTTTCAAAGAGGGCATCACAATGATCCTAAAAATTGGTATTTTTCTAAGTAACTATAAATTGACTGACTAGACTTGACAAATTATTTTGAAAGCGACTACATCATGATGTAGATGAAGTAAATTCACATGCATATCATGACTAATAATATTTTTATCGGAAAATTAACTTATCGATTAAAAAATCATACAACATCCACAAATAAAATCTGAATCTAACAAATACGTTCATGATTTCGAACTTCATCATTGATGTACATCCCTTTTGACATATTTGCTTTTAATGTAGGAATTGAAAGAGGAGCCCAATAAGAACTACTTATCATTGGTATGGGTGATAACAAAGTACATGAATGCAGGTTGGGAGCTAATTAGGGGAATCGTACTTCCACGTTTGAAATGGGGCCCAGATTACAAAGAATGTTGGTGTCAAATTATATATCGAGTGTTTGGGCTGATTATCCCAGGTCTTTCAGCCCACGGCCCACAAGATTACACTAACTTAACTCGATTGGGCCGCATGGCTTTGCCTCGTAATCATGACAAAAAAAAAAAAATGAGTTTAATTCAAATCATACGGAAAACCTTGGCACAAATAAATTGCACAAGAATAAGTCATACCTCTTAAAAAATAGGCAACTTTCTTGTCAAAAATAAATAAAAAATAAAAAATAGGCAACTTCAATCGTGCAATATGCCTAGGTCTTAGGTGTTGGCAAATAGTTTTGGCCAAATAATTATTAATAAAATGATTTTTAATAAGTGTCCCAAAAATATATTAGGGTTACTTTTATTTTTGTAATATCATTGTAATATTGAAATAATGGTTCACCTTTTTTTAAGCCTTGGCATGCTTTCTACATTAATGGAATAATATTACATGTCAGATTTGAATCTTTTAGACTTGACATGATCGGTATCTCAATTATCTTACTAAACTCTAATTATATATGCTAGTGTGATCTGACATTGTCATGAACTAAATTTGACTTGACTAGCTTTAACAGACAAAAATATTACTATGAACAATATTGATTGGCAACACGTGTGTATTTTCTTATTAAGTAAATATACTTTGTGCAGAAGATATTATAAAATTTAAAAAATATGTGTGAAATACTTTATTTAGATAAGGGTATAAAATTAGAGTACCATAGCTATCGATGCAATAGGGTTTCGTTACAATATGAGTCATTAATGTTAAATACAGGCCTAGTTCAGGCCACTCTTAATCAAGAGAAATAGTTTACTTTTCAGAATTTCAAAGTAAAGATGTTTCATCCCAATTCAAAGGTCAAATCCATATGACAATATAAGGAATGGCATTGTAACCTTACAATGAGTTAATCTTTTTTTTAATCATGTGTAAGACACTCACATCATTTATATGTGTTGTTTGAGCGAGATCTCTTTCTTTGAAAGAACTTTGGAAGGAATCTAGTTCAAATTAATTTTGCTTGTTCATGTTGACATTATGTTCCCGTTTGTGTTCCTTGTAATCATAATAGTTAATAATATTACATATGCTCTCTCTGTTTATTTGTTTGAGTCATTTTGAAATTTTCCCTAGTCACTTAAACTACTATCTTTGGTGATTGACATACATACCCAATAAATATTACTCCGTATATACATATTAAATATTTTAATAGTATTTATTCATTGATAATTAAATGTATTATTGGCTAAATTATATTTGACAAACATAATAGGTACTGCGTGGAATAGGTTGAGTAAAAAAAAAAACATATGAATTATAAATCAATAAAGTACAAAGCTTTCATTTTCTATAATTAGTAAAGGAAGCCCCTACTTAAATTAGCTAAGCTACTTGTATATTACTACATTGTCTAAATAAGGCTAATAAGCCCTACTAGTTGTTATGTCCATTCCTTTTGACTAATTATTGTGATTTAGTTTTATGATCGAAATGACAATTTATAGAATTTTGATGGAAATCATAATTAATTATACTCCCTCCGTCCTTTATCTACATGCCTACTTTCCTTTTTGGGGGTTTCAAAATTACATGTCTATTTCTATTGAAAGAATGTACTTTTGACAATATTCCCTCTATTTGATGAGTTGTCATCAATTTTCTTTTATTTTTTTTTTGTACTTTTGACATCATTTTCCAAAACTTTCCCTCTCTATCTCTTCATAAATTACCAATTACCTTTTCTTTCTCTCTATCTCTCTCTAATAACCCCACATGCACATTTGTACTTCCCAATCATGGGTTTTAAGAAATCTTTAAGTTCCTAAATTACCGTGAAAAAGGGAAATAGACATGTAGATAAGGGACGGAGGGAGTAGTATTTTGATCTTCCTGTTGAGAATAGTGTACAGGCTTCTAGCCCATGTCTACTCAGGCCCAGGATCAAGTTGGATCATCAGGCATAACAACTCGAAGTTGTTACACCTCAGCTGAGTCAGCATAAGTTGTTATAACAACTTATCCACCTCAGCAATCTTATATTTTTTTCAACTTTTCTTTCTTTACTTAAATAGGTAGTTGGTTAGCAATTAATTCTTCATTCAATTCATTTCCTGCAAAACTCTCTTATGTAATGATGAACTATCTCAATTCAGTATTTTATTTTTTAGGCCAAGAGCTCGAACTCTACGGACAGAGCGACGAAGGCAAGAAATCTTTATGTTGTTTTTTGGCTTTGATTTTCAATTTCTGACATGGTATCAGAGCTCAAATCTGATCAATCAAAGTTTTTCGCTGCAATTCTTGTTGTTCTGCATCGAATCTGGAATCTCCAGAATTTTCCGAGGTATTCTTCTCAGATTCTTCTTCGTTTTGAAGTAGAGGTGTTTTTTTTTGCAATTTGTCCGGTATTTCTTAGTTGATTAGTTGATTTTGAAGATCTTCTGGTGTTTTATACTTCCGATTGATTAGTTGATTGTAAATCGATTGCGAAATGTGAAGTATTTTCTTCTGGATCTTGTTGTTCTCTGCTTCCTGGAGTATTCGTTGATTTGTTTGATTTTCTTGAGGTTATTTCTTGAAGTATTTTGGAGTATTCGTGGTTGATTTTATGAGAATCTTTTAAATTTGTGATTCTTGTGGTTTTTCTAGATCTATTTTTTGTTCATATTGAGATCTGAGAAATGGACAATCAAATGAATCAATCTAATAGAATTCTAGTACCTACACAAGTTCCTAGTTGTGTGTACTATATTCATCCTGCTGATAGTACCAGCTTGAAGGTTGTTTCTGAATTGGTTAATGGAGATCACTACAGCTCATGGAAGAGATCTATGATTCTGCATCTTTCAACTAAGAATAAGATGTGTTTTGTGGACGGTAGTTTATCTAAACCACCTCCATTGTATTCCAAGTATAAAGCCTGGATTTAGTGTAATGATCTGGTAATTGGTTGGATACTAAGCACTCTAGCACCACTGATCATTAAGAGTGTTTTCTTTTTAAAGATTGCATAAGAAATTTTGAAAGATCTGGAAGATAGATATGGCCAGACTTTGAATGCTCAGATATATGCAAATATGCAATACATGAAGAAATTTTTGCTGTTCATCAAGAGAATGACAGCATACCTGAGTATTTGCAAGGATCGAGAACCTCTGGGATTAGTTTTATGTTGTTTGTCCTATTCCTATTTGCAATTGTAATTGATGCAATTGCAATCTCACAGCAAAATATTTGAAGATACAGCAAGATCAAAGGCTACTTTAGTTTCTGATGAAGTTGAAATCTAGTTATCAATAAGTAAGGAGTAATGTTCTTATGATATGATGCCTCTCCCACCTCTTAATCAAGCATATAATCTTTTGTTATAAGAGGAAAGGTACAAATAGTTAAGTGAGTTTAGCAATACCACTGAGGCTATGGCATTTGCTGTAGACAGAAAGAAGTTTTATAGACCTCCACATCATAATACTCAGTTTAGAAGTTTTAATGCTGGTGATTACTCTCTATAGGGAAATTTTCAAACTCAACTTTGAGTCTTACTATGATCATGCATTTAAGCATGGTGGCATCCAAACGGAAGAAAGGTAGAGATAAAAGAGTCGCCAATAAGTTTTAGAAACTTGTAAACCGTTCACGAGTGTGAAGGTTACACCCCATTCACGATTACGGAGATCGCTAACTCCATAGTGGTCCGGAACCATGACTGGATATTCGAGGATGATGGTAGCGATCCAACCTATAAGAGATTGAATCCGCCCTAAATTGGCCTCTACTTAGTTCTTATGAAATTCAAGTGCGCTTTCCGCTCAACATACATACAACAAGTTAGCCCTAAACCTGTTTAATCTACGTTGGTTGATTATCAATGCACAAATAAATCTATTATTGGCGATCACTTGAATTAAAATCATATTAGCCTAAATCAAATTATTATCTTATTAGGCGTGATTTCAAGTACAAATTCCCTTAAACTTGCAAGAAGGGGCGTGATAAAGAAATAACAATAAATCATGAATAATCAAGCAATGTAATAAATTGACACAACAATCATCATCATAATCAATATAATCATAATCTCATCAAAACATGATTAGTAAGATCCTAGGCATGATACTAAACGGATTAATAACAAATCCTAGCATGTCACTAATAAAAAAAGATCAAAGCATTCACCTAAACATGATACTAGAAATCATACGAATATCCTAAACATGATACTAGGAATTAAAATAAACATCCTAACATGATACTAGGAATTAACATAAGATTATAAGCATGATTTCTATATCAAAAGAATAATTAAGTAATCGAATTACTTACTTTGATGCCTCGTATTTCTTTCTATCAAAACAATACACACGTTAGTAACTTCAAGAAAGATTAAATCAAATAAATAAATCAAATAAGAATTGAAATATGGATTAGGGACCAAACCCTAAGAAAGGCAACTTCGAGATTGGCTAGGAGTATTCGAAGCTTGTGAAGAAGGTATGGTGTTTGTTTGGGAAAAGTATCAAAGATGTGTGTTAGTACGTGTTGGGATGTGTTTAGGCTAAGGCTAGAACATGAAGAAAGAAGAGAGAAAGAAAAGCTTTTAGCTTAGAGAGGGGATTAGATGATGATTGTTGGTGATTGAAAACAGGGTAAAACGACCTCTATTTATAAGAAAAAAAAGAGGGTCAAAGGATTAAAAAAGAGTTAGAATTCGAGCCAAAGTAAAACAAGTTCCATCGCTGCGCGACAACCTTTTCGCGGCGCAATGGTGTTGTTGCCCGGCGATGGTTTTTGAAAGACTGAATCCGTAAGGAATTCTATTCCTAATTGGATTGGGTTAATTGAATATCCATACGTATTCTATTTTGACCAGGATTAGGATCATTGAAAACAAATGTTTTATCCGATGTAAAACTCTTAAATCTTTATCTTTTCAAAAAGAGGATAAATTAGAACCTTCTAAAGGATTCTAGAAGCTAATAGTAAATCCTAAGGGATTTAGGATTGAAAATAAACTTCTAGAGGATTCTAGAAGCTTGTAGTAAATCCTAATTGGTTTAGGAATGAGGTTAAGGTTAATGGACCCTCCAAATGGTCATTGTTTCGCGGGTAAGGCTTAGTTCAGGCTCGGTTTAATATTTTGGCGATAACTTCTTCATTATAAGTTGGATTTGGGCTTATAATATATCTATGGAAAGATATTTTCAAGCCCCATCCAATTAAACAATAATTGGACCAGGATTATGGACCAAAATATACTGGTTTGGACGTTTTATAAAGAGGACACGAAATGAACGATTTTCAAAGACACGAAATGAATGATTTTGGCTAAAAATATTTAAGGAAAGGTTATAAATAGTCAAGGCTAAAGGGAACTTTACGAGACTCTTCAACTCTTC